AAAGCCTTGCACTGAAACCGTTCACGACTATACAACAGGATCTGTTCTAACTACACAAGCCTGCACTGAAACCGTTCACGACTATACAACAGGATCTGTTCTAACAACACAAGCCTGCACTGAAACCGTTCACGACTATACAACAGGATCTGTTCTAACTACACAAGCCTGCACTGAAACCGTTCACGACTATACAACAGGATCTGTTCTAACAACACAAGCCTGCACTGAAAACCGTTCACGACTATACAACAGGATCTGTTCTAACAACACAAGCCTGCACTGAAACCGTTCACGACTATACAACAGGATCTGTTCTAACAACACAAGCCTGCACTGAAACCGTTCACGACTATACAACAGGATCTGTTCTAACAACACAAGCCTGCACTGAAACCGTTCACGACTATACAACAGGATCTGTTCTAACAACACACAAGCCTGCACTGAAACCGTTCACGACTATACAACAGGATCTGTTCTAACAACACAAGCCTGCACTGAAACCGTTCACGACTATACAACAGGATCTGTTCTAACACACAAGCCTGCACTGAAACCGTTCACGACTATACAACAGGATCTGTTCTAACAACACAAGCCTGCACTGAAACCGTTCACGACTATACAACAGGATCTGTTCTAACAACACAAGCCTGCACTGAAACCGTTCACGACTATACAACAGGATCTGTTCTAACAACACAAGCCTGCACTGAAACCGTTCACGACTATACAACAGGATCTGTTCTAACACACAAGCCTGCACTGAAACCGTTCACGACTATACAACAGGATCTGTTCTAACACACAAGCCTGCACTGAAACCGTTCACGACTATACAACAGGATCTGTTCTAACAACACAAGCCTGCACTGAAACCGTTCACGACTATACAACAGGATCTGTTCTAACAACACAAGCCTGCACTGAAACCGTTCACGACTATACAACAGGATCTGTTCTAACAACACAAGCCTGCACTGAAACCGTTCACGACTATACAACAGGATCTGTTCTAACAACACAAGCCTGCACTGAAACCGTTCACGACTATACAACAGGATCTGTTCTAACTACACAAGCCTGCACTGAAACCGTTCACGACTATACAACAGGATCTGTTCTAACTACACAAGCCTGCACTGAAACCGTTCACGTGACTATACAACAGGATCTGTTCTAACAACACAAGCCTGCACTGAAACCGTTCACGACTATACAACAGGATCTGTTCTAACTACACAAGCCTGCACTGAAACCGTTCACGACTATACAACAACAGGATCTGTTCTAACAACACAAGCCTGCACTGAAACCGTTCACGACTATACAACAGGATCTGTTCTAACTACACAAGCCTGCACTGAAACCGTTCACGACTATACAACAGGATCTGTTCTAACAACACAAGCCTGCACTGAAACCGTTCACGACTATACAACAGGATCTGTTCTAACTACACAAGCCTGCACTGAAACCGTTCACGACTATACAACAGGATCTGTTCTAACAACACAAGCCTGCACTGAAACCGTTCACGACTATACAACAGGATCTGTTCTAACTACACAAGCCTGCACTGAAACCGTTCACGACTTTACAACAGGATCTGTTCTAACAACACAAGCCTGCACTGAAACCGTTCACGACTATACAACAGGATCTGTTCTAACTACACAAGCCTGCACTGAAACCGTTCACGACTATACAACAGGATCTGTTCTAACTACACAAGCCTGCACTGAAACCGTTCACGACTATACAACTGGATCTGTTCTAACTACACAAGCCTGCACTGAAACCGTTCACGACTATACAACAGGATCTGTTCTAACTACACAAGCCTGCACTGAAACCGTTCACGACTATACAACAGGATATGTTCTAACAACACAAGCCTGCACTGAAACCGTTCACGACTATACAACAGGATCTGTTCTAACTACACAAGCCTGCACTGAAACCGTTCACGACTATACAACAGAATCTGTTCTAACAACACAAGCCTGCACTGAAACCGTTCACGACTATACAACATGATCTGTTCTAACAACACAAGCCTGCACTGAAACCGTTCACGACTATACAACAGGATCTGTTCTAACAACACAAGCCTGCACTGAAACCGTTCACGACTATACAACAGGATCTGTTCTAACAACACAAGCCTGCACTGAAACCGTTCACGACTATACAACAGGATCTGTTCTAACAACACAAGCCTGCACTGAAACCGTTCACGACTATACAACAGGATCTGTTCTAACAACACAAGCCTGCACTGAAACCGTTCACGACTATACAACAGGATCTGTTCTAACTACACAAGCCTGCACTGAAACCGTTCACGACTATACAACAGGATCTGTTCTAACTACACAAGCCTGCACTGAAACCGTTCACGACTATACAACAGGATCTGTTCTAACTACACAAGCCTGCACTGAAACCGTTCACGACTATACAACAGAATCTGTTCTAACAACACAAGCCTGCACTGAAACCGTTCACGACTATACAACAGGATCTGTTCTAACTACACAAGCCTGCACTGAAACCGTTCACGACTATACAACAGAATCTGTTCTAACAACACAAGCCTGCACTGAAACCGTTCACGACTATACAACAGGATCTGTTCTAACAACACAAGCCTGCACTGAAACCGTTCACGACTATA